GAATTGGTTGCTTGTACTTTACCAAGCAGAGTCGGAAACCAAGGATGACGATTGGATTTTGCTTGATGGTAAGAATGAGATTTCACTGTTCGTGGAATATAGTATTATTGGTACGGTGTACAACATTATTACAGCATCAGTTGTTACGGTTTTTATGATAATATTCTTGTTCATAATAAATAAACAAAAATAGTTAAACGTCCAAATGAACAATTCTTTGATTTATAGGGCAGTTATCTTCCGGTCGTTCCACACCGGTGATTATTCCGGAACCGGATCTGATAGCAATCGATGATGAACTCTCAGCAGTGATTACGGAATCTTTGCGACCACTGTCGCCCGCATCGACTCTTCCACATAATGACGTACTGCTGCAGGAACCTGTCAGATGCGACTGTACGCGGGATTTAAGTCGAGGATCACGCAGCGGAATATCGGGGAAGCATGTCGAACGAATGCGTCAGGCAAAACAGAAGGCTATCGAGAAAAAGGAGTTGGAACGAAAGGTGCAATTTGTTATTAATAAAATGCTCTTAGTAATTAATCAACTGTACTATCTTTAATGCGCTTGCAAATGTCCTCCTATGTTTATGCTATGGACAATCTCAAATTTAAATCTCAACTGGAATGCCAATTTTCTTGCAGCTTTTCGAGAATCAACTGCTTGGAATAAGTAGTGACGCGGACAAAAAATATTCGAACACCATCATCAACAACAGTGCCAACAATAAAACACTGAATATGTTGAATAATGCTGCTAAAATGAAAAGGTTTGGTTTTACTGTTCATTTGCAGTTCGTAAACATAAATCAATCTATTGCTGGTATATGCAGTTATCATGAAAAGTGATAATTTCTTAATCAGTAATTCTATTTTCAAGAGAGATCTGTTCATGAAGGTGTTGAATAGATCAGATTCAGGGAAGGCGCAATCGTTTTTTCAACCCTTTTTCCAATTATTTCTTAATCACTGTCTCTCTCTTTTGCTCATCAGTTTTCACTTCCTGAAGAAAAATGGTATGGTTTGAAGTTTTGAGCCTATCTTACATTTTAGTAATATTTTTGAACACTATGAGATGTTCTTTTTTGGCTAAGATATATTTATACCGGTGGATAAAATATTCAAGAAATTGCTAGCTACACAAAAGTAACCTTCATAATACAAACGAGTTTGTTATTCTACGACTTCTAAAATCACAAAATTTGCTAGAGAATCCCAATAAATTCTAAGCGATCAGTCCCTTCATCCCGAGGCTTCTAAAATTGTCGAAATTTGATTTAAAAAAAGGCTATTGTTAAGCGGGGTTTCTTTAATTTTCTGCGGAACTTGTTAATTGGCATCTATGAATTTTAAATTTCGAAGCTTATTTAGTGGCAGATTTTTAATTTCTTTTGTGCACGTAAGGTTTAGACATTATCCATCATTCACTCCGTGAGTGATGAAGTTTTATCATTTATAAATTTATGCCGAAACATCTTCACTTTAAAAGTTAGAACTTTAATAAAGTGAAGCATAATACAACACGATTACATGACAGTGCAAAGTTCATGAAGTTGGGAAAAAAGGATCGGCACACCCAGGAGCAATAATAGCTTTTTCGTTGAATTGAGAATTCATTCATTATAACTGCAGATCCACCGCCGCTGGTCATTTTGCAACGGATTCAAAAACGAAACCGCGCTCAAAAAAAACCAATCGTTTGTTGGCTGGACGTAACAACGATCGTAAAGTGAACACTTTGAATTAGGACTTAGTACGAGCTCGGAGAGGTGGTCAACAAACAAACATGGATTTTAGTTTCATTTCATTTTGCGTCAAATGACCATCGGTGTCATAACTCCTACTCTTCTATAGCTCAACAGATCCACGATGGGAAAACTATACTCCACCATTTCTACTTTTGAATTCAGAAATCAGCACAGGAACAGTTCTCACACTACATTTTTGTCGTCCTTCTGTACAGCACCTTCTCAAATCGCCTCACTTGATAGTTATACCTTATCAGTCAATGCTTTTTCGTCGTATATTATAAATATTCAGGTATATTTCTTAGTATATTGTGCAGTTGACAGCTATTGGAGTATTCTTAGATGTCTCGTTTGTCCCGATAGTTTGACTGAGATATTTTTCGATGAATAACCGATAACTAGTGTCATCCTTCTTTACTTTCCAATACATTGAGAAGTTTTTGTACAATGACGAATAGCTCCTTAACAGGGTAAGCGACGGTGGAAAAAGTGGAATGCATCCGTTTGAAATGAGGTACTACTTCACGACTGAATCATGCGTAAGCGAAGATGTCGCAGATTTTTCACTTTAATTTGTGTCGAAATGATCTACAGATCAGTATACAAAATATTTCATCGATCTCTTGTAATCTAAGGAACATAATGTAACGCTTTGAATTATAATATCACTCAGTTCTCAACGCTTTTGCAATAGCTCAAACTGTTCATTAATCGGTCTTGAATCGATTGATTAATGAAAATGGATGTGCTTCTTGATTGGTTGATCACATGTCTCCAATAGCTGCAGTGCTCCTTCCTGTTTTCCCATTTTGTATAAAGTTGTAATCAAGTATCAATAGTAGCAGTTCTGCTTGTAAGGTGCTGTAGTGTATCTGTATGTTACATATAATTCATATCCTTTCATGAAATTCTACCTGCCTGCCATTTTAAATCCATTTTATACATGTTCTCTCATATTTATTTGCAGTTTTTGTAAATGAATGTCTCGAAGTTATAGATTACCAACTCAAGAGTTCTCCAGACATCGACTTACACTGTCGCCATCCTATAGCAGTAAATTGCTTGATAACTTCCATTTATTATCCCTCCCTTTACACTCTCTCAGTTTGTTATGGGTAAATTATTCTGAACTTTGCATTTTTCTGCTACCATTTTCTGTCGAGCGGAGGTGTTTTTTTCTTTAATCCAGGAAAATCCAAAAATAACCAAAAAAACTCAAAAGAAAATGATTAATTTTTAAGAACTTTTAAAATTTAAAGGCATCTGACATTTCTGCTTTTATGTTGATTGAATTACCAATCACATTTCTCCACTAAAGGTTTAACTCTTATCACTTCGTCCTTTGCGTTTTAATATTCTTTGCGTGTATTATGTTATTAATAACTAAGTGATAATAATTTTAACTGTAATGATGGAAATGTGAATTAGATGTATCAACTGGAGGAATTTACTGTTACAATAGTAATCCAACAACTTTTGTGATAGTTTTTTTTTTTTTTGATATTTGCTGAAGCTTTTCAAAATTTTAACATATGATCTAGTAATTAGAACTATAAACTGTTTCATAAATTTTGACAACTTACAATAAATTATAAATAAATATTAATAGATAATTTTAAGCTTACTTACTCATTTTTCGCTGATTTTGAGTGAGTCACAGTTTGCGAATTTTGTTTCGAGAAATGTATTTTTTTTTTCAAATTTCGTTAAAATGTCTCTTATTAAATGTTAAGCCATCTCATGTATATACACACAACACAGGCTTTTCAATTTTTTTCATCTTAGTTATTTATACATTAGACTTATCCAGGTAATATTCTGTACTTTCTTATTGTAATAATAGTGATGAGTCATTATTGCTGCACTTATTTGAAGAGTGGAACTTACACAAATAAATAAAGAAATGAGCAAATAATTATGCGAATATACTATCTGCATCTTTTGGGTCTAGTTGAAGAAAAGCTTTAAATTCTTGAAACACGACCAGTTAAAACTGCACAAGCATTGTGCTCGCATAATTATTGTCCTCAAATTTTAATGGCAAGGCTTCTAAAGGTCTTGCCGAGGTCATCGGAGTCCTGTTATCCTCTGTAGAATATGTGACGTCAAATTTGCCACATTTTTAAATTTCGTTGCTTCTCAGTGTTTTCAGTTTTCTTTTTTTATCTCTGCATTGTTTCGTTATACAATAATAAAATGAATAAGAATGAATTTATTCAAGGGAAGTTAAAAAATATATTTTTAAAAAAGTGCATATTTTTTCCCTTGGAAAATTTGGCTTTCTTTGATTTTCTATTTCTTAAATTTAGCATATTTCTGCCTAAATGTTTGCTTTTGTGCTCTTTTGTCGTCCTAAGAGATCTTTATAAAAGTTTATTTTCTGATCCTTTATGAATTTTCTGCTCTAAATTAATAAAAAAAACCATTCGCATTGTAAAATTACTCGTAAGCTTATAATCAGGTTCTGAGCGAAATTCATTCAGAACACGAATTTGATTATCGCTTATATCTTAAATAATATTTCAAGTCCTTGATTAGCCTTAGAACCTTCAAAACCGAAACTGGCCTATGCAGATCTTTTATAAGAGTTCCATTATCCTTATTGTGCTTAAGCTATTTCCTGATTGCTTTTCAAGTTTCTTTACACCTGCTGTAAACAAACGTCTGCAATATTTTTAGTTTATCTATTTTTTGAAATATATTGTCCTAATAATTTCCTTCAATTAGAAAACTAAACTATGAAGATCTTATGAACAGTTATAGTTTGGTCTTATGTGCAAGGATTTAATGCAAAATAGAGTTATTAAATGTGTTTGCATTATTGTAGTTATTTCCACGCATCTGTTGAAAATGATTATCGATCTAATTTTCTTTCCGTTTTTTTTCATTATTTCATTCTCTTCGACTCTTTTCACCGCATTTTCCAACTTTTTTCAGTGAAGTTTTTCAGAATTTTTTAGACTTCAATAGTTAGGAATCAGTTTTTATTAATAAACCTGTCATCTTATGCTTGTACTACTTTGCATAATAAAAGATTTGATTGGGATGCAAAACCTGTCGAAAGTTAGCTATGACCAATGTGGTTAGGCTAGAAAAAAATCCAAATAAACATCAGGAAAGCATCAAAAATCTGTTTTTCAGGAATACACTGTCAAGTTCACGACTTGTTTTTTATGTCTTCGAAATAAAACTGATTGTAGCAGTTGACAACAAGTAAATGGATTGTAAATGGCTAAAAGAACTGAATTGCTGAGGTCCACCAATGTTTGACCCCATCAATGCGATTGAGTTTGAAGCGTTGCACCCAGTTCTTGCGAAAGTGCCAAATTTCGTTTACATTTTAAACGACTGTGATTACTCTGATTAAACTGTATAATAATGTAAATTTTTGCTCAACTTGTTTGATCTTTCTCGAAAGTTGAAAAAATCGGCAATAAGTGAAGCACGCACAACGCATGACAGGGAAATTATTTGAGCTGTAATATTAGGATTACTAAGAATATAAAAGAATGAGATAATCAATCATTTCTAAATTAGTATTCCATCTAATGACATTTTTACAAGATCGTACTGCTTCAATTGAGTTAAAAAAGTAAGAATGAAGTGCCTTCGGTAGTGTATGGAGAAAATAGAAAAGAATGCTTCCGCTTTCGTTCCTTTATCTCTACTAATCAACAACCAAATGCTTTTGCAAGCCAATCTCCGCCGTTATCTAAATTCCATCATTTCCAATTTTTGATCAGTTCGTTCCCAGATAACTAGTAACTAGCCTCAATAAAATTCAGTAGCATGGGCCCTTCCTTCTTCAACAATTTACAATTTCCGCAGGCAATTTCATATTGCAGGCTAAATAACATTCAGTATAATGCTTATTTGATGAAATAAATTGATAATTTTAAACAGTATTTGCATTTTTCTTAGGCTAATACTATGGCAGTTATTAGAGATTTATAGCATTCTTTATTGTGACAACTGTAAATCTTGGAAAGTTGCTTAGTGACTTATTGATTTGATTAATAAACCTATCTTTAAGTTCTTTTTAATTATAATTATGTTAAATATTATTCTCAGCAACAAATGTAGCGTTAAATCTTTCTGTTCACGCTGAAATTCTGTCAATTTCTGACACAGTGTTTTAATTGTTAAATACTGAAATCTATAGTTATTTCTTATCCAGACTTGTTTGATAATTAGTTTAAGCATTATTGTTTTTGGACTACCAATAATACACATATCCCACTCGTTAAGTTCGATCTGTGCACGGCTTCGTTAAATATTGGCTCTAAAGTAGTCATACATAAAATGAACGAAAAGAGACCACTGATAGACCACTGATTACGGGAAAATGAATTAATTTGTGCAACATCGTATTTTGCGGTCAGTTCCATATCAATCCTCAATGTAAGCTAACGGTCAGTTCTTCCATATCCACTCCTCGATGTAAGCCACCGGTCAGTTCTATATCCACTCCTCAATGTAAGCCAGCGATCAGCTACACATTCACTCATTGGTGTAAAAAGGCTGCAAACGGTAGTCGAAAAGTTCTTAAATGAAGTGAGGTATGATTATTAATTAGTGAAATGAACAGCGGAGTATCGATACCGCATAAAGTTTTATTAGCTTACTTATCTTGATTTATTGCTAAAGGCAGAAATTTCCTTCGTATAATTAACAAAATTAATCCCAACACAAACAAAAGAAAATTTAGCTTATAAAAATGAAAATTTGCTCTGGAAAATTTCAACAACTAGACTGTTTTCCTCTTCATTTTCCCTAGTATTAAAAAAATTTCAGAACTCTGACAAACATTTATTTATTTTGTTCATTTGATTACCTGTGATAATAGCACTTATTTTAAAGGTGTCCAATTTGAGTTTAGGCTGAATCGACAAAGGCGAATCCGAAACGCTCAAATCTGGATAATGCTGTTGATACTTTTGTTAGAGTTACTCACTGAATTATAAAGTTTGTTAAAGCAAAGTCTTAGTGTATTTTTTCATTGCTTCTATCATCCTACAAAAATGCGACAACTCCGCTCACACGACACATCGTTACCCTGTGATCAGTGTAGTTCATGTGCATATCATCAGATGAATAAAGCAAATTATTCTCACCTCATGCATCCTTGCACTGGTGTACTTTCTACCAACTAATCCCTCTCGTATCCTGAGTGAAAAATCATAGATGTTTTCTTTCCTAGTGAAAACACTTCGCTTCTTAGTTAATTCTAAATTTAACGCCCACTTTGCAAAAATTTAATCAATAACAATGTTTGAGGAGCTTGTCTATGTAATGCAACTGCTGTGTTTGTGTATCTATGGTGTGTATGTGTGTGTGTGTGTGTGTGTGTGTGTGTATATATATATATGTATGTATGTGTATGTGTGTGTGTCGCTGTGTATCTGTGTATGTGTTTGTATGTCTGTGTGTGTCTAGATAAATACTATACGCATATATAATATATATATATAGATACATGTGTAGTGAAATATTCCGAAAGGATTTCCTTTGGAGAAGAGTGAAGAGAGCGATGGAATGAGGAAGAGGAAAAAGGATGATGGATGGTGGAAGGATAAATGACCAGTGAGCGGCTAACGGCTAACATGACTCAGAAAGGAGAAAAAGATAAGAACCAAAGTGACACCATTTCAATTACCACGTCAGATTATCATATAGCATTCAAGCCACATGTACATTTCCTTTCATGATTAATGGCCTGTTACTCTCGAACAAGCGGCTCATTCATTATCCAGCCATGAGAATTATATTTCCCGTTCCCACTACTACCATTATTTCTTAGCTCATCATTTTGTCTTGCTCTGCTATGCTCTAAACTTAGACGACTACTTTTCGATTTTCAATATCATCCCAGTTAGCATGTAATAACTAAATAGGCCATTAGAAAGCATTTAACAGGAATCAAACACAATTTTATTCAACTTATAACTTATTGCAATTAAGTTAATTATTTCTTTTAGATTTACTGCTTTAATACATTGCATTCTTGAATTATAATAGAATCAGCTATTCAAAAACCATCAAGCAGATCCCTGTTCCGCAGAAAAAGCTTGTCAAATGCTTATTGTTGTTGCATTCATTATGGTTCCGGTTTACTTTTGAGTTACTCTGTCCTGAATACTCACACATTTTCTCGTGCACTTATTCACCAGTCTCTTCCATTTATTTCAGAAAAAAAGGCCTTTTCCTAAGCACACATTTCTTACTTTATCCATCCATAAAACACTTTATCCCTCTCATACCGTTCAAGTGAAGCAAAATTTGTCTGATCAGCAGCACTTAAAGTTTTACTCTATTATTTCTTTCCCATTTAGCTTAATTCTCTTAACTTGAAAATACTAAGACTTAATTGTCCTTACCTTGTTTATTTGATGGGATCAAGCTGATAACTAAAACAAAAGTTTGATCAACACTGGTGACCGATTTGGTATATACAGATTTTGCTTTTGAGATTAAGGAGCTGAGGAGCATGAAGCAAAGACTATTTCATGTAGAACTGCCAGGTGTTTCGTACTTAACTGTTAAAAATGTTTGCACTGGTCATTTACATTAACGCAAAACGCTACAAGCAATTCCTCCAGATGCACGTACGTCTGATCGGCACACTGCATTCTCAAATTCTTGAATTTTTTAACTAAGCAGTCCTTTTGCATAATTGTGAAAATTTTCCACAATATACGAATTCATCCTATCCAAGGGGTTCATGTCATGCATCACTTCTTTGCCAACCATAAGTTGGGAAGACTTCTGTGTCACACCCAAAACCGTCCTTTCCCTTTTTATGGTCATTGAACTGCAGTACTCTATTAAAACGCCGAGAAATTAATTTCTTTTTTTACAAATTATATTTGCATATCCTTTATTTCTCATCTATGGAACTCTACACTATAACGTGACAGTTTGTGTTGAACTCTTTCAAGGTGCATTTTTTTTTTGCCTGACTTGATTTCTTCATTGATGTTTATTTTCACTAAAATCTGTATAGTGTCAGGCTGTTCCAAAAGTAAATTTAGCTTCTTCCACGTAATCCTTCTAATTGCGTGGTACTTCTATTTTTCATTTATTTTTGTTTCAGAAGAAAAGATGTGGTTGAGTGTATTGTCACACACAAGATTATTATTAATAATTGTACAGGTACTTGTATTATTTGTGGAACAATTTTGTCAAGCAATTCAAGCAAAGGGTAATCCATACGCCGTCATTATGGTTTCATCTGCTCGAACTTCAACCCATAATCCACTTCGTTCATTGGAAAATGTTACCTTGTGGTGCCAGGTTTGTTCCTGTTTACTTTAACTGTATATGCAAATCTGTAATTATCTGGATGTCAAGTCAGTTTTTTCGTGACCTAACTTTGAAATCCGTGTTTAACTTACTGAGAAATGAATTAGTGTACTGCAAAGATGGAAAATATTTGTTATCCATTTTCCGTTCAATTATAAAAAAAAATGAAAAATCAATATACGTTTAATATAGAATGATGTAGTATGACATGCTGGTGCAGATTTTATTTCCTCTACAGTGAGCGTGAACTGTTTTATAAAGAAATTATTGTTCAAATAGTTTCATGGAATGCATGTCGACCCTGCGGCGATGTTTTCAGGCGGAAGATCGAGGCGTAGTAGCACAAATCAAATCGGCGGTATTTGTGCGAAAACGGGACGGTATGATGCTTAAAGCTGACATAAGCAGTGATCATAAACGAGCTTATCATCATTTCGGTTTAGCAGATGTTGCTGATTCTGGTAATTATGCATGCAGGCTAATGACAACTAATGGATTGAGTGTCAGTGGCAATCATCAAGTGTTCGGTGTTTTTTTATCGAAAATTTTAGCCTTCATCTCGTAGCTTGTTACTAATTCATAGATTATAATGAATTACCTCCTGGAATTTTTGCGCTTAATACTTCTGTAGGGACACTCTTACTTTCTATTCATTTTACGCTGGAGATTCGGTTTAATTACGAACATGAGGAAATGAGCCAGATGAAGTAATTTTCAAGTTCGATCTTTCCCGTGAACACTTTTTATCACTCTTTTCAATCCTTAGCACTTGTTCAGTTCGTCCTGTGGTCCTAGCAGATGTCGGACACTTTGAGCCACGGAAAAATGATCCATTTTCATTCGATGGTAATGGCATTACGGTTGTTCGAGGCTCATCAGCTGAAATTACTTGTCCAGTGATCGCTTTCCCAACACCTCGATTTTCTTGGACAAAAGATGGTAAAGAATTCAGTAAGTATTCGGTCTTTTTTTTCTAATAATTGAGACTGTTCTGATCAGAAATTCTGGAGAGATACAGTTATGTTTTTTCTCGGTTTGAGATCTTACCCAGTTCCCTTTAGCCTACTTGAGGAATAAATCCTTTCTAAATTAACACCCATTATAACAGTAGTTTCTTGTCTGCATGAGCCAAACGATATTGTCTTAATGTAATTACATATTCATTCAAGTTGAGATGTTAAAAGGACAGTAACTACGAGCAGTTTTATGAATTCATGTTACGGTTGCTGTTAGTCACTTTGACTTTACCTTTCTTTGATTTCATTATGATATTATTCTTATCCAAAGTTCAGCTATAAAAGACGATCGTGTGAACATAAAAAGTGATGGGAAAATATTGATTGATCAAGTTAGGGATAGTGATAAAGGTGTATATGAATGTACTGCAACAAACGAATATATCGTCAATGGCCATACAGAAGCACATCAAGTGATGCTGGCCAGGATGTTACGAGTTAAAAGTAAGTTCTTGCTGATAATTTCAATTCAAACAACGTGTTTGTCTAAGTTACTTGTCCCTTACATATGGTATACTGTTTAGGTGAATTGGCCTGGTTATGGCCATTGCTGGTGATTATTATCATTATCCTATTACTTATGGTAGTAATCATATTCGGTGAGTGCAGGACGAAACGGAACCAGCAGAAACTGTATGTTCCTCGTTTTTCTTCATCCAGTCCTTGTTATGAAGCCAAAAATGTCTATCTATCATTTCTCTTTTGAATATATCCCTCATAATGAGAGAATTTCATGGTTTACACCTCATTTTTGATAGATCAAAAGCGAGTAAAATTAAATCGATTAAAATGGGATCGATTGTATTTGTCTTTTTTTTTCATCGAAATTACTTCAACAATCTTTTTCTTTCAGGTTGGAAACAGAAGACTAATTGAGAAGGTGTAAAAGAAGTCATTCTGTGCTCGTGTAGGTGTGGATAAATGGAATGTCAGATTTTTTCTAGGGCTGAGCCTGGATATCTAAGTAAAATGGTCAATGCATCAACTGCTTGCTAGGTGCTTTTACTTTTTACTCCTGCATTCGCTTGGATTGGCCAAAAAATGTTGGATTGCTTTCATGATACGTAAGGCAGAATTCTGCATTCTACTTATGTTGCAGTGGATGAATGGCGGGTACATAAGCACGATATCGCCGTAAGTGTGTCTAGGAATAAGAAATGTGTTTATGAAGAGAAAAGTGAAGTATTCTGGGTAATTAATGAAAATCTGAATATAAAGACTAATTAATAGAAGTGGAATATTTCAGACATGTACTATTAGTTTTCTGTAAAAGGCATAGAAGTCGAAATGTATTTATTGGGCTAGCCTTCTCTACTGTCCAGCTGTACTCATGCAATAATTTTGTATAATCAGTGATTATGTCACAAAAATTAGTGTTATTCTCATTCGATGTTTATGCTGATCTTTTTAGGTTGCCGAAAGCCTTAATTTTATAAATGTGCTCAAAGAAGCAATAATAACTTTATTAAAGAATGTAAAATTCTCTTGTTCGTCATTTCTTAAGGTCATAATTTGTAAACTATGGCTTGTTACAGGTTCCACACACTATACCAGTGGTGCTGTTATTCTGTTTTGCTGAATTTCCCAGTTTGTTTTTACTAGTTGGATTTGTATTTGTCATTTTCTGCTTCTTGTCTTTTTAGAGAGGACTTTTCAACCTTATTTTAGTTTTTCTTTTTTTACTAGCATTTTCCAAAATGATGTATTAGGTTTTCATTGCAATGTTTTTTCTACTATTCAACATAAATCAGTTGTGAATATCATCGTCTTTTTTTCTGTATTAGTCTTCTTTTTATCCATCAAATAATAAATACCGCGTATGATACTGTACCGAAGGATCCATTCTGTACTCCTCATTTTGACACTTTGTAGACACTATATTACATAGTTTGACACTAATCACTACCTGATAGTTGTTCTCTTCGAAAATTGGAAAGAAACAACAGATCATCTACCGTAATATCAGTTGTGGTGCGAAGAGAGTAGCTCAGCAGCGTTATGTTTTGATTTCTATGTCTATTGCTAATTTATGAGTATTGAAATTAAAAAAGCAGTTCCTTAAATTTTTATTCCAATGCCAGCCACATTTCAATTTCGCAATTCAAACTTTCTCAGAAACACTAAGCTTCATCAAAGCTGCTAATTTTTAACTGGACCTCATTACTTTCTAATGAAAGAAACGATAGAATCTAATTGTATGTCCTTTATTTGATTTCCTATTTTTTCTCATTTCCCAAAGTCCGGAATGGGGAGGGGGAGGAAAGGAGGCATTTGTCTTCATTCACAATTTTTTAATTTCCGTTCATATCCTGCTGATGTCCAATGTAATATTTTTAACTCTTGTGTGTTTTTCTGATACTTTTATAAGCATACAAAGTGATTGTTTCTTATACATTCAGTATTGTTAACAGATGAAAGGAAAGTTTAAAACTACCTCGAAAAGATGAGATCAGGACAATGTTTCGGATCCACAGAATAGAAATTTTCATCTTCGAAAAGAGAAAGAAACGCAGTCACCTCCTAATCACTAAGATTATTCGATCATTCAGTGCAGTAAGCGGAGCTATATAATAATAAGGCCATACTAATTTTATGAAAATAGTGCTAACCATAGATGCTCTCCACAATCGTTTTATTTATGCAAATGATCCAAAATGTGGCATTGTCTTTATTTCTCTTTTATCTCCTTGAAGTTGGATGAATATGTCCACTTGGGTTATGTTTTTATTCATGTTCATCTATTCTCCTTAATGCAGTAAGCTGTTCTGATTAGGTTTTATAGTGAGTGGAAGAATGGTGAATCAAATAAACAATCCCCGATAAGAACAAAAGATTAAATATTAACATTAACCACGATTTATGCTAACACTGAACAATTAATATAAAAATGAATATAATCAATATATGATTAAAAGGAAGAATCAAACGTAGATTGCTGGGCTATTTCTCACAGACTTGCAAACTGAGGAAGAGAAGGGGATCTGATTTCTGAACTTGCAATGAGTCAAAGTATGGGTTCTGGGAGTTTTAGCAGGATCCAATCAGGAAATGAAAAGACATAGCATATAGTTGGGAATGTTCTTTTCCCATAATGCGCTAAAGAACGCAATTAAGGCTAAATCCAAACGAAAAACAACGGGATCGAAGACGGTTGAAGAAATATCGGAAAAGGTGGTAAATAATTTCATAAATACTATAATATTCGTTATCTCAACCAGTGAAACCAAAAATCTAATTACTCTAAAAGATTGTTTTTCTGTTTTTCTAAATCAGCAAATTTGCTTTGTTAGTGTGTATTAGCTATATAAACAATTACTCCAAACAATCTAACTAATAAAAATTGAAGTGAGAACTCCAAAATGTTCGGCATACCCATCGCACTATTGTTACACTGTATTCAGAACTAAAGAAAGGAAGCCATAACAGCTGTAGTAATGGTATTGAATAGTGAAGTTTCAAGTTATCATAGTGTTTATTATCCACAGCCTCCGCAACCGCCACAACCACCGCAACCACCACAACCACCACATGCACCGCAAGCACCTACAAAATATAATATAAAAATATCGGACATTTCTATATCCTAAATAAGCAGCACTTCTCACGATATCCAAAAATTCCAGACTTATTCTATTGGAAATGGAAGGGAGGCCAGAACGAAAACGCGTAGAGAGAAGTCGAATCACAGTTTCCTAAGAGACGACTATTTAATTGGAAATCAATGTAAATCTAGTGAAATAACGATTTGGGGATGTATAAACATCGAAAGCAGAGCAGAAATAAATTTCGGATCAATGTCCAAGCAGCCGGTAAAAGGACGGAGATAAAGAATGAAAGAAATATTAGTATATCCAGCGGAAATAAAATTTAAGAAAATGTTTGACCAACCGCAAGCACCACATGCTCCACATGCACCGTCGTCGCAACTTCCTGCGCAAACAGCAATCATTGCAGCAGTCATGTCCAATTCTTCGTTAATTTCTTGGTGTGAATTTAAGTGCCTGTTAGATGGTAATGCTTTTCCATAACCGCACGCTAATGTCAAAGGCCATTTATGACACTGATGTGCAATACTGTTCGCATCACTATGTGAACGAATCTAAAATAATACTTTTTTAGCGTCGAAATCTTTCTGGTCATGTTTTCTGCCAACTTTCGTCCACCTGCTGATTGCACTTAATCCCTTATCATATACTTTCAGTTCTCTCATCTTATTTCGTCAACATTATTTATCGCGTGACAGCGATTTAGTAAAGGAAATCTACTAAGTCTGTCGAATTACTCGCATCATTAATGCAGTAATATAGCAAATTCTTGGCTTGTCTTATGTCAACTAATCTATTAAATACAAAAGAAAGTTTAAAAAAGTGGAACTTGAAAAAGTAAAATTTCTGTAGAGGAATACAGACTGCATCAACAGCCAAAAAGTGAAGAACTGCAGATATTTACCTTATCAGGATTACAAAGTACGAACAAAGTTGCGACACTAAAGACACAAGCGAGGTGTTCGGCAGTTTGTATTGATCGACATTGTATTCTTTTGCTTGGCAGACGTGCTTGTGCTTCTGAAATAATTCGATAGTATAAGCATGTATATTGGCTTCCGTTAACTTCATAAAACTACATACACAGCAATCAATGTTATCAGATAAGTTAAATTCATCTGTCTAACCCAGTGCTTCATAGCTTATCAAAACCGAAACATGACCGACATGTTTTAGGAAAAATAGTTTTGCACACAACCCTCATAACAATGTAAAAATGTAACCTTAATAATTTAAAATTTCCAAAGAAAAGCTAATCAAATTGTTTTGCTTTGTTCAGAATATTCAAATTATCTCGCATACCTCCTATGACGAAGAGTGTGCTTCCTTCAGGACCCGGAATTTCGAACTTTTGTACCGTATTTTTTAACAAGTTGAATGCATCCACCTTGAAATAACCTACTTTGAAATGCGAAGGAAAAATCTGTGCAAAGAATTTGTAATTAAAGCCCTTATTTTGCCTCTCTGTCTACCAAAACAGAAACTTTAATATACCTGCAATTTCCCGGGATTTCCAGATTTTGCTTTCTGTTCTTTGTCACCTGAAACTTTACGGCTGAAACCAATCCATTTCCCTTTAACAATAGCGAAATCACCGTCCTTATTCATCACGGCAATTGCTCGCTCATCTGGTGCTGACAAGTGAGGTAGAAATTGCTGAAAAAAAGTGTGTGCACCGGGTGAATCATTTCAAGTTTCAACCGAAAAAACAACTTAAAAAAGGGTGATATGTTGAAATTCAATAAAACAAAACTAATTAACCCTCTGACAAAGACCACTATTTATAAAATGTTAGATAAATGATTGACTAACGAGATCAGTATCCAGTTGATCTTTTGAAGGGAGACTATCGGCACCTATTAAATGAGCCATACAGAGTAATTGTTGTTGCCAACCGTAAACCAGTATCATTGATAACAGTAGTGAGGCACTATGTGCCACTTGGACAGTATATTTTGTACCATCACGAGAATCCACTAATCTGAAAATCATTATTGATAACTGAATTTTTTACGGTAGAGCCGGACTATTCTGCAGATTAATAGGTAAATTGCAAAAAAAAAAAAAAAGAATGGGAAGAAAAACAAACGTATGTGTGGCTAAATGAATAATTGCTGATGACTGTAGACCGGCGCGGTTTAGTGCTGCCGATTGACATAAAAACCATAAACGGCTCTCTGGGATCAGTTCCTGTTGCACAAATTCACCAACAATAAGTTGCAGCTCGCGATTCAACGATAAACTACAATTTAATTTAGTAAGGACTGATTCTAAAATTGATTTTAAAAATATTACATAATTAAAAAAATTATGGAATCAAAGACAGTTCCATTCGATGTATATAATTAGAACTACAAGGTAACATTAAATTTATGAAATAAGCGGTTAAGAGGATGTAACTTTACTTACTTTGTCGTAACGCTGACCTTCGCTTTCAAATCTCCATCTGATTCACGACTTTTTACAGTAACTTGAGCAACGTTTTGGGATACTTTTGAATTCGGAAGTGGGAGTAACTGAAATTTTCCGAATAGATAATGGATACTGTTTCACTAAAACGAACGAAATATAGTGGTGCAAGATGATAAATTTTCAAGAAACTAAACAGATTAAACTAAGAAGTAAATATGCAGAGATATTTTCCCAATTCGTTCTGCATCATCTAAATAATATAGAGTAAACTAGGAGTAGAAACAAATTGTAATCAAAGAATTTGGTAGTAATGAACCAACCAAATGTAAGACAAATTTCATGACAGTTGACAATCAATATATTACTCAAGTAAGTAATGGAATAATAATAATGAAATGAAATAAGAAGGAAAAGAATTATGGATGAATTATGCTTACCTGTTCCAAGGAAATTAGTCCAGTTAACTTAACTACGTCTTTCCTTTGCAGAAACACTTTATCGAAAAGTTCCAATTCAAGAAATAATTCTTTTGGATTGCGCCGTTCAAATGGGAATTTCACGACTGATGAGTTTGCAGAAACCTCAGTTGGCTGCCACACTAATGAGAAACCAGACTTTGTCATCTGATTTGAAAGTAGGAGAAATTATCGAGCTGTAGGAAATTCAGCATTTTCATTATTTCTATTGTAGGTTATGAGAACTTTTGGGAAAATAAAAATTCTAGAGCTGATGTTTTTGGTTAAAGTTACCTGTTTTGAAGTGAGATCCGCATTAAACGTTGTAACTTTTTTATTTCCGTATAATAATTTCAAACGGACTTGTTCTCGTTGCAATGGAATTTCACGAAGAGTAATTGACGGTATGTGCATTTGGCCATAAGTAATACTACTCAAATCTTGCTTTTCAAAACCCAAAAAAGACGGCGCTGGATGTCCTCTAAAATAAGAGGTTGTGATTCACGGGACTATTCATAGATATTATTTTCTTCACCCGAGATTTTGGCGGTAGTGAAATTTTTCAGCTAATCTTGCGGAGATGTGAGTACTGCGTAATGAAGTTAAGACTGGAGACAGGTAATCCAGAACAGACAACTCTAAAATTGTTTACTTGCATCTCATTACCAGGAACCGGAGAACTAAATTTTTCAGAAATAAATGTATGGTTTGTAAAAGTTTAAACCTACAACGTATGGTAAATTGATTTAACAGATAAATGGAAAAAGTGTCTATGGAAAAGTGAAAAGATTAGCTTCAACGAACGAAAAAGAAATAAAATCAAAAAAGAAATCAAATAGAATTTCCCGGAATTGGGAGATACCTGTACATTGAACCTTTGCGCCAGAATCCAGTTTGAAAATGCGCAGACCAAAGCCGTTTCGTCATCGCTTCACCTTTGAGCAGCTTACTATTCTTATTACGATCATTCACCGTATCATCATGCTTCATTAACCAACCGAAAATTGCTGTACAGTCACGCAGGTAACAATGCGGATGAACCTAAACGATAAGCAAGATAAGGGAATATAATGCGGTAGTGAAAGCTAAAATTTGAAGTGACTATATTGAAAGTTAGTGAAACTGATTTCAAAATATAAGTCTCGCTAATTTGAAGACCGATAATAAAGAATTTACACAACTGTAATTGTAGCTGAAGTTCAAAGTCTGTACTTTATCTTAAACAGAGAACCTGATGTGTATGCCATACAATATCAAAATCATAGCAAGGTGTTAAAAATTGATCTGTGTAAGTTTGTTTCAACAACAGAAAATTGAGGTATCGTTCTACAGCATCACTAATAAATTTTGGTGACGTATAGTGCGGTAGTGAGATCTGAAAAAATGAAGTGAATGTATTGAAAGTTAATAAAGCTAAAAAAATTTCAAATTCAAAGTTTATTGAAAGAGCAAAATTGATTTGTTTATCTTTTTCGAAATATTTGACTAAACCATAATTTTATTTTGAAAACGACTCTACCTGATAATTAAAATTACGCTGTCGTTGTGCCGCAGCGGCGATATCATAAGATGATTTTGATTGGTATGGCTGATTGTTATTGATTTTGGAATTTAAAAAATCGTAAGGTTCATCACCGCAAAAACTTTGCCAAACACTAACGGACTGTTCGTATCGTTGTTGAATTTCATCCGAACTGAATAATTTATGATCAACCATGGTTCCACATATCGTTTCACAATCCTGAAAATCATCTAGGTAACAGGCCGATACTGTTATTGCTTACGGTAATGTTACTATTCCCGCATGATGCGACATCCATACCAGTTAATTTATAATCCAATGAATTTATTCATCAGAGCTTTTGATAAAAATGACAATATTCAAATTGTAAACGAAGACTATTTGTCGAAATTTCATGGCCTACTCATTGATAGGCTCTGGGAAAATGATGCGAAACGGTAAGTGGAAGATAATGAAATGTTACTTTAAAAAAATCATTTCTATCTGAACAGACGAACCTGCTGATAATGTACTGGACTAAGCATATGACAATGCCACACCCAATGAACATCCAAAGGCGGTATATTTCTGATATCTGGTCGTGCTGCCTACAAGAAAATTAATTAACAAATAACATTATTAATAGTTTAACTTTTTGTTCAAATATTTAGTAAAGTATGAATACATTATTTTTCTTAAACATATTATATCTCATATATTTCTACATCTAACAGTGACAACGATCAAAATGCAAAAGTTTCATATAATTATTGATTGATGTGTAGATATAATACTCTATTAACTTTATCACATTTGGTTAACAATATAAAAACAAACATGTAATTAATTAATTCAATGTGCACTATGCCGTCTGAAAAAAACTCTCCTCACTTTACTTTACTCCAAAAGAACCAATCAGTAAAACCATCAATGTAAACTTATCATCAAGCAATTTCCGTGCCTACTTGTCCTTGGCTCATTTCATTTCTATGTAAAGTTAGATCTTATATCCATTTCAGTTTATACTGACTGCAAGGAATCAATCATACGTTTATGCCTCAAATCCGAGCAGTATTGTTAACCTCTTTCAATTCCTCTAAGGGGTTTGAAAAATAATGGCAAAACCGAAAGAGCGTGAATTTTTACTAAATACTTAGACAAAAAGTTAAATTACCAATAATGACACCTTCAGACTTTTACTCCTCCCTTCACCATACTTTTTATGTTTACCTTAAAGGATTGTCAGAAATACTTTTTTAAAAACAATAGATTCAATAGGCAAAGTATTCATTTAACGGTTGGGGAAAATTGGCCAGAAAAAATCAACTCCCAAAATATCTCAGAAAATTTTTAAAAAGATGTCCGTAAATTTATTAAAAGAGAGAAAAAAACTCGAGATCGAGAATTTCCGAGATCAAATGAAATCCTCCCTCGTTACAGGTATTTCGAAAATTTGCAACATACTTCTTTCATTTTTTTATTTATATTTAGAAATTCTGTCAAATGAATGAAAGATACAAAATAAAAAAATTTTTAGTCTTGGATACATATATCTATACTGTAAGAGACAAGTTTGGCAAAGATTCAATCAGTCCGAATATTTTCAATAAAAAGAACTCAAAAGCTCTGATAGAGCTTTTTTTACAAAAGCCCAATTTACGCCATATGCATATTTCGCGGAAATACTTCAGAAGCTAAAAAGTTACCTGCATAGGAAGCCAAAAACACTCGTAGCGACGGACAGCATTTTCGATGACACTTTGTTCATAAAGTATTGGAGCTTTACGATCGATCATTCGCAAGAAATTGGCTTCCCTCTGGCTGGCAGATAATAAGTCGATGGAAATACATTTTCTCATTTGTTCAATATTTGAGCGGAGAGTGGGTACAATTTGATGGTACTCAGGTGGTTGAGACCTTGTATCTATAGTACTGATGTTTCCTATGTCACGACTCCAGGTGCTGCAATCTGCATTACTCGGCCCCGGCAAATTAATAATATTATTTGGCTCCTGCGGTTCTACACTTGCCATCTGAAATCATCGACTTGAATCACCAACACTATCAAATAAAGCTTTATTTTCTTCATCAGCACTATTCCTTTCCAAGCCTTCCTTCTTTTATTTCCTAAATCGATAGATGTTTTCAGGCCTTTAAACAATTAAAAAAACGAAAAGAAAAAAAGGGAAAAAGAAAATATGGAAACGGAAAGAAAGTACTGTCGCAATTGTCCCGCTTCTTGTCACCTTTCAGGAATCATCCCTTCATTCCTTCAACGAAATACTTCCATCTGATAACGACAAAGCCTTCCCTTCCAGTGTGCACTAGTGTCCGGTGTGCATCCAATGTGTACTAGTGCCTAGTGCCACGAGTAACGACTGACGACTGCTCACGCCACTACTAACTACTACTACTACTACTACTACCACTACTACTACTACTACTACTACTACTACTACTTACTTATTGCGGTTATAATTAGTTGTTGACAAAACTTGCAAGCTATACTATGAAGGTCGAAAAATTCTCTTTGCTCCTCTACCTACCATTTGGGAAAGAACAAAAATCTGCTACTGTTTCTGATATGTGCTAAGGAAGTAATTAGTTGGCTAAAGAATGATATTTATCACTTATTTCTACATATCTTCCTACTATTCCAACAAGCCATCACACATCTATCATTAGCGAAAAGAGTGGTGGTCTTGTTGTCCTGTTAATGACATCAACATAAACACCAATCTTCGAAATTCACTGCGACGAGCAAATCATTGAGTGAATTGTACATACAACATCGAATTCCAAGATTATTTACTTTTTTAATCTGAAATTTGGAACTTGAAATAAAATTCTGATACATTTTTTTCTTGTGGCAGAATATCTATCACATCAATAAAAAAAAAGTCTAATTTTGAAATAAATTATTTGATGATAACAAGAACACAGCAATGCATCCGATCTAGCACTATTTGATAAAGGTTTTTGGCTTTTGGAAAAAATTATATAGAAAAAGCGAATTCGCTTTATATTTCTGAAATGCTTCTTCCGGTGAATGTATTTCCTCTCGTTCAAATTACTCTGATTTTAAAGTTTTGTTAAAATAGATACGAAAAAATTGCTTGAATAAATTTTAACTGGGAGTTCTTTCTCCCTCTCTCTCTCT